AGGATCGAACTTGGATCTATGATAAACACCCCAACCATTTAATTGATCGGAAGAACCTAGACACCATTTCCTACATTTGAACCTAAAATAAAGTTACAAAAAACGTAACATAAAAATAAGAAAATTAATAAAAAAAAATAAAAAAGAAACATAACTCATCTACATGTGTGAAAGTGTAAATAAACACGCATATACGCGCGCGTTTCTTCCCGCTCCAAATATGAAGTTTCTCTGCACACCCGCATTAAGTGACTATGCGTTTATTCGAGAAATCGAAGGAGGAAAGCAAGAACCCTGTACAGTTGTTCCTTTTTTTTTTTTTTTTTCAGAAGTGTGTGTGAGAGAGCCTGAAAAACGATTAGAAGTCCAAAAAACCATCTGTAGACAGTGGAACTGAGGAAGAAGGAAAAGAGAGGGTGAGAGTTGTGAATGGCGCAAAGGTGGCTTAGGCATCAGGGTGAAGGGAAGGTTCGGGCTGGGATAAGGTGTCAGACGGCCTGGCGCCAGCAATAAGTAAAATGTCACTTTCGGTAGCACGGCGCAGTGCCAACACAAACATAGATGATAGGGCGGCTGACGGCGATTATGATGATGCTGATTTTAGTACGGCGGGAGGAGGCGGCACAAACAGAAATGCTTTCCCCCTCCAATCACAACTGACAAAGCTGATTATGTTTTTACTGCCTTTTTTCTTTAGCTCATTTTTTCGCACATACATCATCAGCATCATTTCTTTCGTTTGTTAACCCTCTTTGAATGATTAGGTATCAATGCAACAATAAAGCAAGACAAAAACATCATTATTGATACTGATATTCAATGAACGAGTTTTGAACAATGATTTGTCATGTCAAAATTGAAATTTATCGCTGTACCAGCATCCGACAAAAATATGAAGTTAAAAGATGTGTATTTATTTTAAAATCACTGTCAGATTTCCATTTGTGTATATCTTCAGCTAGTATTTTTTTCTATTTTTCTGCTGGAATAGAAGGTTTATTTCCATTTTTCAAATATTCATCGTTTTTGTTTTTAGTAAAAGAAAATTGGCATAAAAAAGAACAGAATTATCCCAAAAAGAGGAGATCGGTATCTAGTGGGAGACAACACAAGGTGTCCTTGCTAGCTAGTAAAATTAAAATACATTGCATACTTTCTCGCTTGCGTGTGTGTGCATATTGGTAAGAATTTCCTAACATACGTACCCAGTACTTATGCGCTACAACTCGTTACTATTGTGATTGTCACATGTGTAGTATTAAAATAATAATTAATATTTGCATGGGCAATTAAACTAAAATTAACTTAATTAATCGAGTTCCAATTTCATTTTTTTTATTTTATACGGTCGGGTAAAGTTAAAAAGAGAAAGAAAGACTTGTCATGGAAATAGTTAATTTTCGTTCAACAGAACCCTTCGTAAGAACATTTGAAGAAGAGAAGAAAAAAAATTGAGCGTCTTGGGATTGTCCAATCAAAACCAAAATTGTCAAAGACAAAGACAGAAATTAAACAGAGATATAAAGAAACATTCATTTTATAAATTACACAAACGGAAAATTTGCAAAATTGTAGGTGTAGTTAACTAACAATAAATCTTGAACAGATGCCGCAGAAATTTAAGTTTTAAGATATCACTTTTTTTAAAGGAAGACGAAGAACAACAACAGATGGTCCACCACTTAAAGCGAGAGACTGTCTGTGTGTGTGTGTGTGTGTGTGGACTTCTCTCAGTTCTATATCGCTATCTGCTGGTCATCCAGCTAAATAGGCTTTTTACAGTAGGGAAAAACAGATAAACAGATGGCCCAACAATTCAAAGAGAGTGAAAGTGAAATGGGTTGCGGGTGAGAGTGATTTGTCTCCCCCATCCCGTTTCCCCGTCACTATCTGTTCTTTTTCACAGGAAAAGGAAAACAAGTGATAGTAAGAGTGAAGGGAAAAAAACGAGAAACAGATGGTGTGAGGCATGCAGGCAATGAGGCCAGAGCCCGCTACCAGCAGCCATGTCCGAGGTGACAGAATGGGGTGGGTCCTCACCTTGCATAGGCAGGAGTAGGGGTTTGACCACCAGGGACCAGACGAAACTAGGTACATCAGACACCATCATTTGCCAAACTATAGACGCACATAGGGCTAAGAGCAGCTACACACACACACACACACAGTATTAGAAGGGAAACGGTTCTTCTGAAAGGGGCCCTTGGCACTGTTACAGTGATAGCAAAATAAGACGGATCGTGTTGTGCAGAAAATTCTAAAGCATTGGAAAGAACAAAGTGTTTTAGCTTTAACTACAACTAAAAACACATTGTGTTTTTGCACATGAAACTTAAAGATGTAAGGAAAACTGTCAGTGTTAGAAAACATTAATGGTTGAACCAATGAGACAATAAAAATGACAAAATTACGACAGGATCGATATCAGAGAAAGCGCACAAAAAAGATTTTTAAAAATCTATATTTTTTTTAATTCCTCCTTCTCTTTTCCTTAGGTTATTTTGATTTAAAACTAAAGCAACTTAAATCAATCGATCGTAGAAGGAGACAGTTATTTTAAATGCCATAAATAAGAAAAGGTTTTCTTTTTAAATAATCACATTCCCAGACATAAAAATCCGACATTTGAGGACATCAAAACAAATTATTAATCAATCAAAATTTTAATTATACAAGAAGAAGCTGTTCATTTTTTTTTCAATATGAATATTTCAATTTGTTGTCATCGACATTTAAGATATGTAGCGAAAAATTTGTTTTTTTCGAATTCAATCATTTAATCATGTGTGTACGGTGTACTTTTTTTAAATTACACTGTAGGCATTTTCTTGAATTTCATAAGAAAATGATAAAATTGACTGCAAATTAATTGTCAATCAGCTGATATTAAAAAAAAATTAGCTAAAAAAATATCAATATGAGAAGGGTTAAAACTTAAAAAATAAAAAAATGTCCATTATTTTATTGTTGTCCCCCACCCCCCAAAATAATACATTGTTGACAAAAAAATAAGAGTCAGTCAGTCACAAGTAGATTCACACTGATTACTCAAAAAAAGCTTTGAGTTAAAAAGCAATGTATCGAGATTGGATTGTTTTTATATTTTATTTGTGATTAATAACAATAAGTTCCCATTGAAATCTTTCAATAAAAGGAAATTTCGAACCAAAAATGCAAAAGATAAGTTAAAAAAAAATTCAAATTCTAGAAAGCTTGACTTTATTTTTTGAGAAATAATTTGAAATAAAACAATTCAAATAATTCTTGCTCTCTAGTTGCCACATAAAAAGCAAATCTTTCTTGAAGCTGATTTATAGCATTTTGGAAATTGTGCTAAATTTTCGATCCAGGTGTAGTAAAAATAAATGTGTTAGGCTCGAGGGAAGTAAGTGAAGACTTCGGATTTGTGTCTTCATATGTGGGGGGAAAATCCTTGATTATATGTGGAAACAGAAACTAGAAACAGTGTTTGTCTTGATTTCTACTTTAAAATGATTGTCGGCATTATTTTATTTTTAGAGAAGCTTAAACATTCTCAAAATGCCCATCAGTTACAAAAACATCAACTAATTTTATAAAACATGGAACAGAATGAAGAAATCGTCAACATGCTTCTTTAAGTTATTTTATGGTTTGTCTTGCAATCTTTGATGTGGTTAGTTTTCCAGTTTCACTAACTGGAATTATTACATAAATAAAATCTTAACTAAAATGGGATTATTTTGAGCTGAATTGTAGGAAAATAATAATTTAATAAACATTAAAAAAATGTGTGTAGTTATCCGATGAAAAGATGCAAGGGATGAAAAAAGAGGCCAACTTTAAAAAGAATTTCTGTTTGCAAAAGCATTAAACAATGAAGCTTGAATTAAATTATTAATTTCATTTTTGTCATTATCTTTATGTTTTTTAATCAAGTAACATATGATCTAGAGTTTTAACATCGCTAAAAAAATAAAATATTTTTGATTTTCATTTTACAGAAATGGTTTTAAATTAAAAATGCTTCAAGATAGATTTTTTAATGGGGAAATCACTTGTCTGGTAAAAAAAGATATTCATTATTTTTCTGGTGGTTCGAAATCGAGTACAGTAATCTTAAATTTGGACATTTTTTTTTTTTACTATTTTTTTTAACATCATCCTTTCGTTAATTATTCTACACTTGCCATATTCTTTATAGACTGATTTTTAAGTCAAAGCTCAAAAGATATTTTAAATTTTCAAATGTTTCTTTTTTTTTTTTTTAAATTTTTTTATTGCCATGCCACAACTTCAAAAACTGACCATTTATTTTAGAACTCCAATAAAAAGTAAAAACAAAATAAACTAAAAGATTTATTGAATATATAAGTAGATTTAAAAAAAACAAAACTCAATTTGAAAATATTAAAATTTGTATTTTTATCAGGAAGAAACGTAGCAGTTAATTAAAATTTGGATTTTAAAAATGAAACTGAAAAGTGAAAACGATTTATTATTTGTTGTTTTTGTTTGTTATTGTCTAGAAACCTATTTTATTACCAATTTTGAATAATCAAAATTTATTTAATAATAAAAGAAATGTACGATTGATGGTGATTTATTTATCAGCATCAACAACATCGAGTAGTATGAAGGAAAATAATGTCAATGTGTGTGTTGTGTTGAGTGAGTATTGTAATTGTAAATAATAATAATAAAGATATTAGGGATCCTGACATCTGATGGAATGTCAAATTATTTACTAAAAGGAGTGTGTGGGGGGGGGGGGGTCGATCCAAAAAGAAAAAAATAGGGAAAAAAAAAACATCAACAAAAATGAAAATGCCAACAACTGAAATTTATATTTTCCAGAAAATTTATTTATTTTCACTGTCACTTATAAAATAAAATTATAAATAAAGGATAACAAAAAAAAAAAAAAAAAACGAATAAAAGTTTACCAATTGCAAGACAAAAAATAAAAAATAAACAAGATATGAAAAGCTAAACATTTTTAATTTTAATAAAAGACTTACCAACAGAACGGGCAAATTTCAACATATTTCCTGTCATTTGGCTTTTAATGAAAAGAAACTATGAAAAATGTCTTTTTTTTTCACAAATATATGTGTGTGTATATATATATATATATATATATATATATATATATCTTTTTTTTGGTAATTAAAAAAAAAAAAGATACATACACAAGAAATGTGTATATACCCTGGGGTAGATGTAAATCTACCCAACAAATAAAGAAAAGACCCAAGCAAGATGTAAGAGAGAATAGCAAGATGTAAGAGCTATTCACTATCCTTTCATTCAAAGAAAATGTTGATGCTTTTTTCTTTCTTTTTCTGCTATTTCCAAGGGATTTCGTGATTGTGGGTGTGTATGTAATATTACTCGGTTAAGTAATGGTCTTTGGAGATAAGAGGGGAAAAAAAAAAGAATTGGTGACTACCGCTGCTCAGTCCAGCAGTGGCGCATATGAAGCTTTCTCAAACTCTTCTTTGCTACAGCGACGGCAGCTGCTGCTGCTGATTCGAATAGCCACCTCCCCCATCACCATCACTACTACTACTACTACTACTACTACTACCACTACTATTGTAAATAGTAGTGCTACTGCTGCTTAGTTTTGGTATTATTTTGAATTGTTGTTGGCTGCAGTAGTAATCGTGGTAGTTTTGCTCTTCTGTACTTCCGGGGTAGTAGTACTTTCTAGTTTGAGTGAGTGCTCAGAAAAGCCAACAGCTTGTCAGCGTAAAGAAAGAAATACAAGAGAGATGAAAGAAAGAGAAGAGTAAAAAAAAAGGGGGGAGGGGGTAAAGAGGAAAATGACATGCAGATAGGAATACACATGTATAAAAAGAGAGGAAGAAAGCAAGATACCAAAATGGGAGACATGCAAAAAGAGAAAGTGAAAGCCACTCATATAGACACAAAGAAAGATGGATAGAAACACAAGAGATAGTGAGAGGTGGGACAAAGATGGGGACGGAAAGTGTTTAAGAAAGATGTGATGAAATGTCCAAAGATGAGGTGGGTTAGACTGTAAGTAAAGGGTATGTGAATGATTGGGTATCGGAGGGTGGTAGGAAATGAATGAACGTTTGAGAAAGGGAAAGGGGGGGGGGAGAGAATAAGGAATAGAAAAAAAATGATTTTTTTTTTTTAAATTAGTGAGAGATAGAGAGACATATAAATAATGAAAAGAAAAGAAAAGTAAAGAAAGTATGATGGCACGAATTATGAAGTAATGAAATAGAAGAAAAAAAGAATGAACGAGAACAAAGCAGAGGAAAAGAAGAAGGAAGGATGAAGGAGAGAGAGAAAGAAAAAGACAAAAAACAAAACGAAGCAGCAGATAATGAGAGAGAAAGAGAGAAATTGTCCTTTTAATAATAGAGTAGGAAGAGGAAGAGGTAAAACATGGAGCAGATGGGGAAGTTCCCAATCAGTGTGAATTTACGAAGCCAGTTGCCATCTGCTTATCTCCGAGAGCTTCCACAGCTGTCATGTTTTCCAGGAACTGGTCTCATTTCCATAATGATCATGCCCCCACTGCAAGTGTTCCTTCTTCATGAGGATACAACAACATCGATGAAGATGACAAAAACCGAAAAGATGATATAGCACAATGTTGATTCAGAGCTGAAGACGAAACAGACAGTGAGCAAGAGATGACATGAAAAATGCAACAATCAAAAATTGTGCAGGAGACTGACTGTCATTCAGATGATGATGAAGATAGTGATATCAAAATTATTTAGTGTGCCAATGATAATGTGATGATTGAGGTGTAGTGGTGATGGTGGTGGCGACAGTGCAGGTGTAGCAATGTTGTAGACGATGGTAACGAGGTGGTGACGAGGATGGGGCGCTGATTATGATAGCAGTAGAATTGTAATTGATGATGATGATAATGGGAGGGGATTGTAGAAGTAAGAGCAGTCCAGATAAAAAATAATTACATTTTGTGAAAAATTTTGATGAGGTTTAAATACTAATGACTATTTTCCATTGGAAAAATCGTATTTTTGAGACCAATCTCTACGAGTTTATGACATAATTTTGTAGAAAACCCTTGTTATTTGTGTTAAAGGGATGTGAGTAGAAATGTGGATGACAGTGCTATCATTGATATGGATGGTGGGGATTTATGGTAATTGTAATACCACGGATACTATTGGTGTTGGTTGTGATATAACAATCTGGGGGAGAATTTGATACTGATGATTATGGGGCCCCACCAAAACAGTATTAACTACATTTAAAGGTTGTTTTTTTTTCCTAATAACTAAACAATTATAAAGGGCTTTTTAATAAATAAACGGACTCATAAAAGATTTTTTTAAAATACTTAAAGAATTTTTTTATTAAAAACCATGATATAACATTAACAAATAATAATTAAGATGACACTCACTGATGACAGTTACCCCCCTGAAACAAAAATAACAAAAATAAAAATTAATTAATGTAATTGTAATCCATACTTATTGGAAAGATAAATTAAGATTAAGTGGGTTTCTCAGCATAGAGCAATAATGGATAGTGAGTTTAATTTTCATTAGGTGCTCAACACTTGTGGCCTTCTGCCAACCTAAGTTAATGTCTCTAAAAAGCTGTGATTCAAGCATTATGAAAACCAGTTCATTTGTTTATTATAGTTTTTTTTTTTTTTTTTTTTTACTAATGGTAAATAGTGATACCGATAGAAATCCTTTTGGAGAAAAACAATCTTTCATCCTCACTCACTCACATCGATATGTTCTTGCCTTATACATGTATTATACAGACATCATGTAGTAATACATTTTGTGTACGTGTGTGCGTTCAATGTGTATAGGGAACTGTAAGCCCTTTTAAGCAGTACATATGGAGCAGATGTAGGGAACGATAAAAACGTTGAAATCGTTAGGAGAGTGAAAATTTTCTTTTAAATCTGTTTATTCACTTTTTAAAACCTTTAATGGGTTGGGCTGACTAAATTTTTAAACCATTTCAAATGTGTAAAACTTGGTCAAAGGGAAAATAGAAAGGAAAAAAAAAGCTGGGAACTTCAAAATATTGAATTTACATTTTTCTTTCTTTCGTAGAACCTATTTTTCAATTAAAATATAAAGAGAGAGAGAGAGAGAGGAGAGATAAAGGGAAAAGAAATCTACATTTTACACTCATTAAAAAAAAAAAAAAAAAAATCAAGTGTGTAACAGAACTGTAATCTAAGACAGCCAAAGTGTCAAGGCTGGAACTTAAAACAGCTTTCGTTGTCACGTGACTGACGGAGTTATCAATTGCCAGCAGAAATAATGCAAGTTTGTTTTTTTTGTTTTTTTGTTTTTTAATTAGAAAAAGAATATAAAAAATGCAATGTAAAGTAAAATGAAATGGATTCATGTGTAAAGTAGATAATATGAAAACAAATACAGAATAAAAAATAACATTTAAATGAAATATTGACGAAAAAAATATTGATGTGTTTGTATAAAATAAAACAATACAATAATAAAATAAATAAATACAGAATTAGAATAAACAAAAAGAATAAATGTGTTACTTGCCTTGAAATTTAGTTACATATTTCTTACTGGTGATCCAGAGGTCAGGGTTCAAGCCTTATAGAGTCAGGATTTCAAATTCTGATTTTCTAAGCTAGTTAACTTCTTCCCATTTGGAAAATTGATGTGGTACAATCATTTTATTCTGTATTCTCCTTTTCTTGTCCTTGTGGTTAATGCTAAGAATAGGAAGGCTTGCCATATGGTTGAAATAGTTGTACATTTCCTACTGCTACAGGAAATCAATTTTTAAAAAGTTAAAAACCAGGTTTTCAATAAAGGCAATCAGACCCTCCTCATTTGAAAGATTGGTGCCATACAATCTTCCTACTTTCATTTCTTTCTAGTCTAACCTTATAGTTTACTCAAGCTTGGTAAATAATATTTTCTAACTATTGATTAGGAAAAAAAATTGACTTGGTTGGTGACTTATTGCTATCAGCTGCACTAATGTTTCAAATGCAAATTTTCACTGCAAGGGAGCATATTGTCCTCAAATCTTCAAATCCCTTGGGTTTGTGCTATTGGCTAAATTTAGTAAATATACATTTTCATATTAATGTGTAGGTTTTTGTAGAGTAGAAATGGAAGGTCTCATTAGATAATGAGGGACTTCAACAGGAAGACATGTTGCTTCATCCAGTGTTAAATAAACAGCTGGGATCCAGATATATTTTTTGTATTTGTATCTCATTGGTACAAGAATAAAGTAATTGAGAATTACTACTACCATTGCCATTGTGGTTATTTTACTGTATTGAGTAGAGTAATGATTAATGATACAGAAAAGGGTCAAGATGACTGGGCTCTTTTTTGGCAACCACTCTAGGAGAAGGTGTTGTATTGTGTTTTCTACAAAACAGTAGTCAACTTCCTCCTGTCTCTTACTTTACTATACCCTTTATATTTTTTCTACATAACATATGCAAATAGGTACAATCCTATTTACCAATCCACTACACCTCCCTGAACTGAAGAGGTTTAATGTCTTTGGTTGTTCTCAAACTTCTACAACCTCTTTCCTCCTTTCCCCTTTGAGGTTTATATCCTGTTCTTTTTAATGGCAGTCTTGGTCTCATCTCATGTTCTTCCATGTCTGAGTCACTCCCGCTATCATCCATAGGCTTGTCTTCTATTTCATTATCCTGATCAGAAGAACTCATCCTTTCTTTTTTGTAAAGATCTTCTTTCATATCTTCCTCTTCAATTCTGGATCTTAATTGGTCAGAATGGGCTATTAGGTTTTTCCCTTTCTTTGATATAATGGCTGCATTATGTCACATTTGCATGATTAAATTAGCTCTCTCAGGACTTGCTACTTTGTCTTTCTTATAAATCTTTTCATTTGTTGAGTAAGACATTGTCAATAGAGATCTTATTTGTCTTCCCATTAATGCAGGTGGGTTTTGTAATCTGTCTGCATGTGGAATCATCCTATAATTAAGCAATAATCTTGATAAGTAACAGTCTGTAGTGTCTCTACTTATGGAAAATGCTTTTAAT